ACTTAACATGGAATTAAATTTTAGTGTATTAGAATATCTTACGTTAAATAAAGATCCGGTAGTGACAGGAAAAGGTTCTCGCTATTGCCTGAATACAACATTATGCGATTTTTCGTCAACTGAGTACATTTCATTATATTGAACGATTTGTAAACAATATAATTTATTGTTCACAAAGTAATATTGTTCAGTAGTAGTAGTATTTAGTAAAATTCATTGTTTATAATTTAATCATAAAATAAAAAAAATTGACAATTCAAATTGTCAAACATCTGACATTAATATGATAAAACACACACGTTATAATATATTCTTGTATTACGTGTGGCCTAACTTTTAGGGGTGGTCTGAAAAATCTATTATATTTTTGCAAAATTTTGAAGTACATTTGATTCGTAGAACGGTTTTAACATTTGTTTTTAATTCAGAATTTAGTCCTCTACAAATAGTTTTTTATGACTTTTGATCTAAAATAATTAGGGAAGCAGCAATTCAATAATTTAAAATTTCCCATTGAGTTTCCTATGGCCCGTTTGACGATTCACCACCCGGTATACTTTTTAGGACACTGATGATGGAATATGGAAAACGAAAACGTTTTGTGATATAGCCCGATTGCCCGAAATTTTTAATAAAATTTTTTAATATTTGTATTTGTTAAGTAGCTAAATAAATTAAAAAATAAAAAAAGACCGAGCAAGAAGATCGATGTGCACAGGGTGTTGTCGAAGAACAGTAGAGTGTCAATATAGTGGCCTAAGGTTGATGGTTCTAAGAAACCGCTTCTCCATTATCAGGTCTGGTAAATCAATGGTTAGCATTGGAATATAAATTGAGATGCGAACAATCATCGAATTCGCAGTTTTGGTCTTTTTCTATTTCCACACCGTGTGGTACTTTCTTACCCTTGAACATCGACGTACTCGTCTAGAATGGTGCAGTGAACAATTGGCTTGGGAATGGATTGGAAGTTTTCTTTAGTAATGAATCTCTGTTATGGATGGGCGAGTTAAGGTCAGAAGTTTTTTGTCGAAAGACACGTGCACCACACTATTGGGTTTATGGCGTGGGATAGGACAGGCTTGAGCTTTGCTCTGGTCCCCGAAGATTCTCTGATTTATGCTCAATTGAATACGTGTGGAACCTGATGGGCCCCGGGAGGAGTTAATTAGTGCATGGAACGAATACTCCATGAGTAGGTATATTGACCATTTAATCAGAAGAGAGCTCAAGCACATCCAAGAGTGTGTTGTCTAACAAGGTCCATCACCACATTAATTGATTTAACTCTGTAAGTTGATTCAATCATATTGAAATTTTGATCGTTTGTTTATTATGTTACCCAAAATATTTTCAAAATATAATAATTATAATTGTATTCGGATTTCTATGTCACTTAGTATATTATTTTTTAGGATTGAAAAACATTACTGAAGGAAGAAAATATCTCAAAAACTTTGGCGGCAAAGGAAAATTACACAATTGTAATTTTTGTGGGACGTCTTTCGTTAGAGAAGATGAATGGAGTAAACACTTAAAAACACACCAAACGAAAT